CCAGGAGCCACTTGTCGGATATTAAAACTGATCAGAAGGAAAACTCCGGAACAACAAAGAAGAAGAAGGTGGAGAGGAAGCCGACGAAGACCGTGGTGATAGATGGACCGAACCCGCCACCGGGCATGCCGGAAAATCTTAGGGCTTTGGTGGTGAAACTGCAAGGACGGGACGGTGCTGATGATCATGATCACCACCAAGCTGCAGCGAGACTGATTCTCCAGAAGCAACTGTACCAGAGTGATCTGGAGCCGCAGCAGAGCCGGCTTTCAATGCCGTTGAAGAAGCTGGGTTCGGACGATTTTCTGAGCGAGGAGGAGAAGACGGAGATCGCCAAGAATACTAAAGGCTTTGATGTGAAGGTTATCGAGCCATGTTCGGAGTTGGATATAACGACGATGCATTTGAGGAAGTGGGACTACAATACTAGTAGTTCTTATGTTTTGACAAATAAGTGGATCAATGTTGTTAGAAATCATAAGCTAGTGCCCAAAGAAATTATACAGATTTGGTTTTTCAGGGACAAGAATCAAATGCCCTGCTTTGCCCTAGTCATCCTTGGGAGGGAATAGGTTGCTTGGTTGGCAAGGTAACTGCTTCTTATTAAAATTTTGTTTTCTTTTGTTTTGCTTCTTTTTGAGTAATGAGTATAATTTAATTATTTTAGCCTCTTTAATTATTTTGAAAATTCTTATATGGCCAGCCTGTTATCTATTCGAAATATAATTAACTCACTTATCGTTTATATCTATTTGCTAAGAGATAAATTATGGAACGTAAATCAGGGGTTAATTATTGGATTTGACATATGATCAAAAATGATTTCTATCCTAAAATTCATTATTCTTAAACAACGCATGAGGCATTTGGCACTTCATCATTACGTAGGACTTCATGCATTGAAGATGGTAAGGAAGTAAATTAACCTGAAAATTACCGTGGTACTTGATCTCAATGATCTCTCATGTTCACTTGTAATTTTAGATTATTTTTGTTGGGCTTGTATGATCAGTTCAATGTTCACTATATTTTTTTTTTCTCCCCTAAATGCAAATGTACACAATTCGCTTAAAATTTAAGTGAAAGGACTTCGAATTATTTGATCTCTAACTTTTTTTTAAACTTTGGGGATTGCAAATTTTCCTGTATCATATCTTGGGATTCCATTTCGAACATCTTTTGTAATGCCTACGATTGCCGCAGTGTGGCAAATTAACATGCGATTCCACAAGTCAAACCAACCACGATTAGAATCCCAATGCTTCCATTGCAGCGGGTAAAAGAGTAATTAAACAAATATTGAATAAGAGTGTACTTGAGGATTCACTAGTGGTTGAATATTATTTCGTAAGGGCGTATTCGATTTAATCATACCACGAAATTCTTTAAAAGACATCCCGAGTGAGTTATATACATTTGGGAGAAAGAGGGAAATAGGCTGAGACTTGAGATAAATTAAAATTAATAGGTCAATAGTTTACATAAGTTAATAAATATGCTAAATTACTATTTTTGTCAATAACTTGTCTTGTAATGAACTATAACTTGACAAGTTATTGTCCATAATTCACAATTTTTGTCCATAATTTGTCTGGCTATGAATCATAACTTAACAAGTTTGTCCATAACTTATCTGGTTATGAACCATAACTTGACAAGTTATGACCTATTAATTTCTAAAACTACAAATTAACCTATATACTTTCTTAAGCTTTTCATATTGACCTATTTTCTACTATTTCCGTATATACTTCAGCTCCATGCTTTCTTTCTTTTGAATCAAAATTCAATCAAGTAAAAAAAACAAAGATTTAATTTAATAAATTATTAAATAAATTCTACACTTTATTATTTATTTGGTAGTGACCGGTGGACGTTTAGTAATAGATTCAGAATCATAATTTAAAATTATTCTCGATTTACGTGTATTTTTTGTGAGAAAAAATACTGTAGCGAACTACGAACTATTATTCAAATCATGGTACGAATTATGATTCAGAATCATTCTCAATTTACGTGTGTTATTTAGTTTACAATCAGTTCTTACCAAAGAAAAAAAAAGAATGATCAGTTGTTGAAAATTGGTGGAATATTGTGAATGCAATAAGTTGGTATTGTTTGTTTCTTTTCAAAATTTTGATAAGAAAATCGTTTTGAAACCTTTTTTTGGTATTTCTTACGTGTTAGATAGTCAGCACTGTTTATTAGTTTACGTAACTGTTTCTTATACACCAATCCTAAACTCGCCCCTGGGTTCTCGTCTTTCCTTCTTACAGTTTTGGCATGTTGGGAAATTATATAAAATTTGAGACCCGTTTAGTTCGTTGATTTGAGTTTTTAATTCGCGTTAAGATGTGATTTTATATGAGAGCTTGTTACTGAAGTAAAAAAATTAGATGTAACTATTTCTAAAAATTTTTTACTGTAACAAAACTTAAATTTTAAACTCAAATCAATAAAATTAAGTTTTATCTTCCACGTCAAAGAGATTAAGCGAACAACTTTGACATGTTAAGCTAAGTAAAGGCATGCAATCATAAATAAACACAAACAAAATGCTACTTTTGTATGCATTGCTGGCAATACTGACGAAGCTATGACTTTTCGTTAGGGGATGCTACTAAGTGCAACAATTATTTAAGTAAATTTAAGAATTAATAAAAACTATGGCAGGTTTTTATCAGTTGTAAATAAAATATTTATATAAAAATTAATATTTATTTTAAATAATTTTAAAATCTGTTATTAATTATTTAATTTAATCTCAAAAGGCTGTTATTTACTATAATTTCTAATATTGTATAAGTGCAAAAAAAAAAAAAAAAAAAAGTTGAGGGGCTCGGGCATAAGTAGCTTGGTCTCTCATTGCTGGTAAATCTTGATTTAGCCTAAGTTGCCTTTGGTTGAAGGAAGATAAATTCTTTGCTCAATGAAGTGGTCAAATGTATAATTTTTGGCTTATCAATTTGAAATTTGAATGAACAAGAATGTTGAATTCTTTACTAAGGCCTCGTTCACTTTGCGGATTCGAGTTTTCAATTCGAATTGAGATGTAACATTTTCTGAGAGCTTTTCACTGTAGCAGGAAAAGTTAGATGTGACATTTTCTGAGAGCTTTTTACTGTAGAAACCTAAAACTGAAAACTCGAATCGGTGAAATGAACGAGGCCTAAATTCACGTTACGATTTAGTTTATACACGTAATCACATCAAACGAAGGATTTTCTTTCGTTTTTTTTTAATTCTCTAATTCAAACTTAGTAGACGTTTGATTTATAGATTCAGAATTATTCTCGTTTTACGTGTGTTCTTTGTGAGAGAAAAATAATGTAAAGAATCATGAATCATACTTCAAAATCAAGGACGAATATAGGAAACAAACGTCAAAAAATGAGTTTTTTTTAGTAAGGTTAGAAAAAATAAACCAGTAGTAGTTTTTTATTTTGCGCTATCAAATTTGTTATAAAAATTATCTATTCTACATACTTTTTATGGCAAAGTCTTTAGTCAAGTAGACATCTTTTGCCTGATCAGAACGGCAGTTGTACAACCTAAAGATTTTTTATACATTTACATAACGACAGTTGTACAATTAAGTATAAGTTTTGTATATTTACACGTTATACAATTTAGTATATGCCTTGTACAATTTAGCATATGGAAGTTGTACAATTCAGTATAAGTCTTGTATATTTACATGTAAAGATGTATAAGTTGTACAATAAGTGATTAGTGCATGAAAATGCACCATAAATATTGCTTTTGATTTATATAATATTAAAATATTTAAGCTTTAATTAAACAATTCCATTATTTTTATTCATAATATTTTTAATTGGAATTTGTCTAGTTTTTGCTTAATTATTTGCAGATAAAAAGACGTGAATTATAAGATAAAGTTTCCCTTTTCTATGTATGTTATTCAATCCTCGATGATGACTTGGGGGCTTCATTATCCTTTCAAAGTAGTACGACCATGACTTTGGCTCATTATTCCTTTATTTTGACAAATACACAAATTACAATTTCCAGACGTTTTTATTGCAAGCATAAGTTCACATCAATCGACATCCGTTTAAATTAAGTTACAAACAAAATACGTTTTTCGAATTTTTGTTATTAGCCACACGAAAAGAAAAAATTGAAAAATTGGTAAGGGGTGATAAAAGCTGTTCTTTCTGCTCGATACAATCTTGAGTTTGAATCGGTCCTATTGCAATCGCAAACGAGATTATTTGAGTATGTCCCATTCTATGTTTATTATTCTTATATTTTTAATAAGACAAAACGAAAAATTAATAATAATTCAATTGGGTATGCAATTGAAAAAGGTACTTTTTTTGGTGGAAAAATTGACCCACCAAAACAAGTGTTCCCAAGCAAAAGCACAAATAGGTGAACCATTACAAGGGAAGATGACAAAAGCTAGAAAAGAGTGTAGGATGAAAGATATATTGACAAATCTAACCAAATCCAAATAGTTCAAGAAAATAATCACCGGTTTGAGCTTTCAACAAAAGGGTTTGCTTTCTTTATGCTTTAGGACATATATATAGTGTCTCACGCCATTTTTCAAACATTTCCAGAGATGATTAATATATATACATATATATACATATATATATAAGGTCTCAAGCTCATGCTAAGTGTAAATAAGAAATATGAATGTGGAGAATTCAGCGGCACATTATGAAAAATACCTTATTAATAAGATACAGATTTTGACCGTCAATTCGAAAAAAATTAACACCTCATTAAGAAAAATATGACAATTTAGTAGGATTTTATTTAAATATGACGGTTAAAAACGGTGTGCCGCGACAATTGAAAAAATTGCCACTACCTGCTTCTATGTAGCGAAGATATCCTTGGAGAATTTGAATTTTGGAGCTTAAAGACAATGCTAGATATAGCAATTGCCTCATAGGTTTTGGTTAATTTTATAGGAAACAGAAGGAAAGTAGAACATACAGAAGAAGTAAGCCAGTATTTATGCCACGTAAATTCTTGATGCTTTTAAACTAATTCATAGAAAAAGTCCAATATAACAAGATAATTGCCACTAACCCCAGTACAAATAGAAATGAATTGTTAGGAACAATACATAAAGAAATACTTTACCAAACTTAATTGCAAAGCAAAACACAAGGGAAATCACATTCCCATAACTCTGCAAGGACTGTAACATGTACTAGTCGTGATAATTACTAAAACAAATATATGTGAATTTAAGCAACTATTCACATCAATAACTGTATAATAGTAAATACTACGAAGCCGATTTAAACTTAAGAAGATTTTTGATAAATTAGACTCTATGTACTGCCGCTAAACATAAACTTACCGTCATAAATACTTATTTGCAGCATCAATTAGCAGTCAGAAGAAGGCTCTGCTACCGTAGAAAACCCGCGATCCGTCCTTCTTTTTCTCGACTTCTAGCTTGTTGTTACGGTTTCGAATCATGTCATGACTATGGTCTTCATGTTCCGCCTTGTCAAGGTTCATTGGAAGCTTCATATTTGCCAAGGACTCGGTAAATTGTTGCATACTTCTCATGTACATGTCCACTATCTGCTGCTGCATTGCAGACTGCTCGGCCTCAAGATTCATATTCCCAAGTTGGCCCGAGAACACTTGACCGAATTGAGCAGAACCCGGATTTTTCCCTTCTTTCTTGTTATCCTCCTCTCCTGTGCTCGAGAAATTCGAGTCCTTCTCATCTCCGATTTCCCTTCCCTTCTTCGAAGTCGGAGTGTCGGGGCAACAAGTAATAGTCCCATGGTTTGCTGCCTCCGCGGTTAAGGAAGCGTTGACAGAAATCGATGATTCACCAGCCACTCGGTTCTTCTTCTCAATTGAATCACCCGAATTTCTGTCGCCACTCAAGCTTGTTGTGGTGGAGCTAAAGAAGCCAGAATTCTGAATGCTACTCCCATTAGGAGAGGAAACAATATCACCACTATGAGTTTCCTCGGACGAATTAACAGTCATCTCGCAGTCGTCAACGGACTGAGGAGACACCCCGAGATGAAGAAACGAGGCAACACTACTAGATCCGGGCTTGGAATTAACCGAACCACGCGTGGCCAAATCAAAATACTCGGAAACCATCTGCTGATTCTCCCTCACCACACTGATATCAGGAAACTCAATCCTCGAATACTCGACCGGGTCTAGCATCACCTCCGATGCCTTCCGATCGAGCAGGACAACCTCAGAAGTAATGGATGAACTAGCAGGCGATTCGGATAGTGGATTGAGTGAGGGACTGACAGGCAAAGATGTGTTCAAAGAAAGTGTCAAATGGACAGTCCCGGCCGGGGAATGAAAAAGATCAGTAGAAGATAGGCTATAATCTTGTGTCAACTTTCCTTTTCCAACAAGTTGTGAAATCGGGACAAGAGCAAATCCCAGAAGCTGATCTTCCATGTAGTTTCTAGCTCTGCTAAGCATCCAGATTTCGCATTTGAGGACCGCGTCGAGCTGCGAGATTTTCATCCTCAGGCTCTCGTTGAAGTCCGGGTTCTTCCCACCTCCATTGATGATTCTGGTAGAGAGAGTCTCATCTGGATTGTAAGTGAGAGAAAATTTTGCATACACATCTTGGTTTTCATATATGCATATGTTGTGAATGTTCCTAGCGTGATGGACATAGATTTCAAGAACTCCTGCAAACTCGGACTCTTCTCCGTTTCTGTGATGATCATCATCGTCACTTATTGTGTTTGAGTTGAGATTGTAACGGAATCCCGCTCTCTGATTAAACGAATCCATGAAGAAATGAAAAAGAATCTCCCCTGTTTGAATTTACTTCACCGTTTGTTTTCCAAGAAAGCTAGAAAGAAAAATGGAAAAAATATGCTTTTAATTATTCACTATAACCTTTCAGTAATAAGAATATATATATATATATATATTTATTCATTTTGATTCTTCATTTGGGTATATGTCAAAGCCACTGTGAGGAATTCAATGCATAAACTAAAGAGAGACAGAGAAAATACAAATAGCAGGTCAACACAAAAGAGAGATATATTTCTTTTGATATAGCAAAAACCAGCTACTTGATGATCAAAAATACATTGCAGCTTCTGGTTCCAAATCCACACCTGCCCAACATTGTTGGGTTGTGAAGGAATTTTTCCAAGATCAATAACATTCGAGCATGAGCATAAAAACCAAGCAAAGTGTGGAGAAGGAGAGAGAAACTTACAGTGGAAAAAAAGAAGCTTGCTTTGAGGAAGGTCAAGAGTTGGTATGGCAGTAGGTGGGAGTGAAAGACAGGAAGAAAGGAATGAATGAAGAAAATCAGTGGCAAAATATTGTGATGATGTTACGGTTGTTCTTAAACCACTTTTCTTTCTTTTTATTTTTATTTTTATTTTTTAAGATAAAAAAGAATCATTAGTATCATTTTGTCCTCATCCCAGTTGAGATTTTGAAAATTTTAAGACCGATTAATACCAATAAAACTAAGAGTCTACTCTATAAATAATAATGTATAATCCGTTTATTAATTTAAATTTTTAATTTAAGTTGAGATATAATTTTATATGAAAATTTTTTATTATAATAAAAAAGATTAAATGTGACTAATTTTAAAAAAAATTTATTATAATAAAATTTAAATTTTAAACTCAAATTAATAAAATGAACATAATTTTAATTTTCACTCATATCACTGAAAATACATTAATCGAACGGGTAGAAAGAAAAATATCATTACGGATACACTAATCCCAGTGGTTTTATTTTATATATATATATATATATATCTATATATTTTTTTTTTTCAATTTTCCTTGTGGTGCTTTTTCCTTTTTTGGGGGTAGGTGGAGGATAGTGATCTTTGAAGGTGTTGGCTTCGGTTTGACGTTGTAGCATTACACTCCCCCCCCCCCCCCCCCCGCT